CTTGATAGATTTCCATATCATTTATAACTTCCCTTAATTACACTTGGAAGACTTGCCAGTAAAACTGGAAAATTGGCAGCCTATATCCATTATAGCAATTTTGCCAACCATGGCAAGCAGCTGGCTTTACTGGATTTTATTTCCCATCACTCACAATTAATCATCAGCTGAAACTCTTCAAAACATAGCAATACTGTGTGACATTTGGGGCTCCTTAAAATGCTAAAATCTGCTGAGTAAATGGGCCGAGGTTTCTTTCCTTCAAGCTAGCTTCTTTTGGTGCGAGGCAGACGCTGCTTAATGAATGCCACTTTGATAATCAGAGGCGAATGTGAACCTTGACCTGGTGTCAGAGGAGAGGAAGCAGCAAGCTGGGCGAAAGATACGAGAGTAAGATCTCCAAACTTTACACCAATTAGACAGAGTGGAGAAATACATCAGGGCCGATTGGTTTTATCAAAAAGACTTGCAAGGCTTGTGACTGTTTTGTAAGCCTAACATTGAAGATACCCTGTCACAATAATTAAGTCTTGATGACTCACAGAAGTATTAGGGAAGTGGGCTAGGTTAAAAAAAACACCGGTCTGAGACCTCATTCTACCTCTAAATGTCCATAAAAAATGTCCATTAGCAGTCTTTTATTATTATTATTATGTTTGTGCGCAAACTGGGTACATCTAGTTTCAAAAAACTATTTGTGCAGGAAGCCCTGCTATATTTTAATTTTCTTTGCATAAGCTTCAAGGCTGTACAGATCCTCAGTTTAAGCCCACGTTTTGTTTTCAGTTGCTATAATGAACGGCTACACTTTAAAAATGGAATTTGAAGAATTGATGCAAGACACCATTGAATTTGATCTTATACTTCATTTTAGAATGAAATATTAAATATTATTTTTTATATTTTATCGTTAATCCCAGCATTTTTTATTGTTTCTTCTGAATACAAAATATATATTTGAAACATAATTTGCATTTTCTTTTCTTCTTTTTTTATTTGCCTTTTTTAGAAAATCAAAATTTTGGGGGGTTATACTTGATAAACCCCTTTCCCCATTTCAAACCTTCATTAAAACGACTGATATATAAAGACACATTTTAATCACAAGTGGAATTAATTAATACAAATTATACCATTGGATATGATTTGTATATATGTGTACTTTTATGCCAGCTCAATATCTTTGGAAAAGTTACTGGGTTTTTAAAAGCTGAACTTAATCCTTAAATGATGAAAGAGGATATTTTAGAAATCTCTTAAGATATTCATTTTCCGGCTTAAATAATACAGGCAGGCAAAAAGATACACACAATTATGCAGTGAAAGAAACTGAACAAAGCCCTAGAGAATGAATGAAGTAGGAAATTGTGAGATATTGGGGACTAATTTTAGGATTTGCTGTTTTGCAACACAGTAGGAAGAAAAGTCTATAAAGGATTGACATAAAGAACAATTATTAAATGTAGTTGCTTTAAGTGACACTTTCCACTAAAGCCATTTTAGACAAATTAACTATTATTAGAAGTAAAACCACAGTGTTTAAATATTGGGTATCTATGGAAATACAGTTTTTTCCCCTCCCTTAAGGTAAAAAGTTAAATAGGTGAGTTTATCTTCAAAGGCTTCCAACTATTAGTTGCTATTTTTATAAATGCAGATTTCTTTTAAAATTCTTCTTTATTTGAGAACTCTTTCACAAAATTCAGAAGAGCTCAGTTTTAAAGGACAACCATGATTTGATACCCAAAAGTAGGACTGCCTTCAAATGTAAAAGGAACAGATTTGTTCTTATTTTTACTCACAACATAATTCTCTCATGGAATAGAGGGTGTTAATTCAGTAGGAAGACCTGTATTGTCCTGCCCATATATTTATGTAATTCACATAGACCTTTCAACCTTACAGAAGAAAAGCACGCCTATATTTCCAGAGGACATAGCTTATAGTGTAATATTCCGGCTTGGAAAACAAATTGATTGGTCTTATTCAGAGGTCAATTTCACATTAACCAATTTTCTATTGGGATATCATGTACATCTAGACCATTATATTTACCACCAATATGAAGTGAATATTTACCTCATAGTAAATAAACAGTTTATAATTTATAAACATTTGACAAAAGAGTCTATGGTTTTCTAGTCATGTACTGTATATAGTGAAATCTGTGCGTCATCATCATACATATCATATATTATAGTGTAGAGCAGGGGTCCCCAACCGCCGGTCTGCGGACCGGTACCGGTCCGCGGAACAAGTCTTACCGGGCCGCTGGTTGCTGGGCGCCGCCATCTTTTTTTGATAAAAAAGTGCTTCCGGTGAGAAAGCTCACCGGAAGCACTTTTTCATCAAAAAAAGATGGCGGCGCCCAGTTGATGCCGGTACCGGGCCACGGCGCCCAGCTGATGCCGGTACCGGGCCGCGGCATAAAAAAGGTTGGGGATCACTGGTGTAGAGGAAACGGTGGACAGCAAGGAAATAGATGAGAAGAGCTTGACCTGTTGGGTATGAAGCCCTGTAGCTCATGTATTACTCTCCAAAGACTAAGCAAACTTGCAAATGGAATTTACGCGGGGGGGGGGGGGTTGTTAATTAAAACAAACAATGGGAAAATCCTAAATGTTAACCTTTTCCCATGTTGAACTATTTTAATACATCTTCTCAACTGGTAGATAATAGCTGAAGCCTTTTAGGTCACATGACTTTGCTTGCAAACTTGTTGGGAAGTCACAGAAATAAAGTGACTGGATGCCCATGCCATTGTGTAAACAAAGCATCATTCTAAATTAACAAATGACAGATTTTTTTAAAAAAAATCCTTTACAAAGAGATGAATATTCAATGTGTATACCATAAGTTGATTTTAAGTATGACAGGAATATTATTTGTTAATATATTTCTTTTTTTTCTTTAGAATCAGAATCTAAAAGAATCAGAATTGTAAACGTTAAACACAATTGAAAAATATAGTATCGTAGCAGGACAACTGCAGATTATAAATATAAAATGTGTAAATGGAAAGAAGGTACACAAATAGTAAGAAACCTTCTTGAAAAATATAAACAATTTTGACAAGTTTCACTACATTTTCCCTGATGTTTTAGACTGCTACATGCAGGAGAAACATTATGCAGTATAAGCCCACACATGTCCATAAGTATATAATTTGATATAATGCAGCTCTGAATTTGATTTTCTGACTTTGTATAATATCTAGAATAATTTCAGTACTGCATGCCTTACATTCAGAGCTTATATTAAAGTTACTTTTCTTTATAATGTACAATTTTGTAATCAGAATTTTACCTAAGGGTATATATAGATGGTGGTTCTTTTGTACCATTTGTTTATTGTATATCAGGGTGGGATTCAAATTTCTTAACAATCGATTTTGTGGGTGTGACATAATTTGTGGGTGTGGCTTGGTGCTCATGTGACTGGGTGGGCATGGCGTGTATGTAAATATTATAAATATTTATGTAAATATTGATTTTTTTTATAAAAAAGAGCAACTTTTACCCAAAAGCAGGCAAGGCAGGCAGGCAGATTGAGTTGCTCACAGAATCACAGATTCACTTACAGATCTATCTATCTGCAATCGGCTGAGTCTGTCACATAAAATTTGCTTGCAAGCAAACTCACAAAATTAACTCACAACACACCATGTATGTAAATATTGAATTTTTTATAAAAAAAGAACAACTTTTACCCAAAAGCAGGCAAAGCAGGCAGGCAGATTGAGTTGCTCACAGAATCACAGATTCACTTAGAGATCTATCTGCAATAGGCTACCTGACTCTGCACTGAAAAGTAGAAGCTTCAGTGCTAAGGAAAGTTTGGCTCTGTTTTTAGATTAGCTAGAAAGCAAGAAATCCAAGGATTTCCTGTTTTCTAGCTAATCTAAATCTCCTGGCAGAGCAGAACAGCTGATGGGGGGGGGGGAAGGAAAAATAGCAACTTACCAAACCAGGCAAGTTGGATGTTTCGCATGCCAGGTAAGGAGTGGACAGGGAGGGGCGGGTCCAGCCAGTGGAGCGATTTGCCAGTTTTCCAAACTACGGACAATCATAACACGTGTGTGTGCAACCTTTGCAAGAAATAATCAGCTGTGCCACCTGGACAGCTGACAAGTGCTGTGCACAGGTGTGCAGCATTTGAAAATCCTCTTGTTTCCTGCTTTTTCAACCTCAGCTGTGATGCGCAGCAGGGAAAAGCGGGGAATAAAGGACAGCCTAGAGCCCGGGCAGGCAGGTGGGCCAAACACCGAACCTATTTGGTGTCAGCTGTTCTTCGCAGCTACTGGTTCTATAGAACTGGGCCGAACCGGTAGCATCCCATCCCTGCTGTATGTATGCATTAGTTGAAACTGAATATATTTCAATTTCTACTTATTTAAATAAGAATTTAGTCATGATTTACTTATTAATTTCAGTGAATTTTCCTTAAACATTATTAAACAAAATAAGCATTAAAGATTGGAAGGGAGGCTGTTTTTTTAAATTACCCTAACCCTAATAATTCACCTGGTATTTGAGATCATTTTATGGAAGAATCTTAAACCATTGCCGATAGTGTTTTGGAAGCAATGTTACAAAATCTCCAAAGCAAACAAAAATGCTCTTTTGTTTTATATTCTCTCTTTCTGTTCCACATCCTCAATCCCCTTCAGAATCTTGTTGGACCAGAGTGGATGGCGTGGTCCATACTGTCTCCTTCAGAAGCAATCGCTTTCGAAGATAATATTAGAGAAAAATATTCTCATATTTCAGTCATGATATTTAATTGTTCTAAAGAAACAATGTGTTCAATCTCATCCGTAGCTGCAGGTTTAATGGGTAGATGGAACTGCATTATGGATCACTAGCTGCCTGCTTTCCTCTACGAGCAGGGTCCAAACAGAATCCCTCTATTAATTTTTGGAAAGAATGAAACAGCTTGATGGTATATTTTGATTTTGATTTTATTTTTTTAACATCAGTGCCATCTATTGCTTTTACCAGGTTGCAGAAGGTCAAGAAATATGCGTGATCGAAGCTATGAAAATGCAGAACAGTTTGGTTGCTTCTAAAACTGGCAAGGTATGTCTCAGTTAAGCTCCAGTGTCTTATAATACTTGACAGGTTGAACATAACGCTATTTAAAGAAAGCAAAGTATTACTCAGAAAATCTGGCATTACAGGGTATTATACTGAGACTGTGATGGTATATACCAGGACTTGGACTACCAAATGCTTAAGGTCACAATTTATTAGCAACAGCATTGTTCCTGGAATGTTCCAGCTGGGTGACCTTGGGACAGTCACTCACTCTCATTCTACCGCATGGAGTTATTGTTGTGGGGAAAACAGGAATAGGAAACTGGGTTGGGATATATTCACTGGGTTGGATATGTTGCTTGACTTATTTGTAAAAATAATAAAGGTGGGATACAGATAAACAAATATAATAATAATAAAATAAAAATCACTACCGGCAGACCTCAACTTCTGACTATAACTGAGGCCAAAATTTCTGTCGGTAAGCAAAGCAATTGTTGAGTTTTGCCTCATGTTGTGATCTTTTTGCCACAATTGTTAAGTGAACGATGTGGCAAATCTGGCTTCCTCCATTGACTTGGCTTATCGAAAGAATGATCACATGATTCCAGGACAATTCAACTGTCATAAATACATTCCAAATGTCCAATTTTGATCAAGTGACCATGGAGACCCTACAACAATTATTAAGTGAGCAAAATGGTCATAAGTTCCTTTTTTTCAGTGCTGTTGCAACTTTGAACCGTCACTAAACAAATGGTTGGAAGTTGAGAACTACCTATATTACATGTAAGATTCCAGATGAGCTTTTCCCAACCTTCATTTTAGATGTGTCCCATTATGTTTCACGAAGTATGCCTTGGACTAACTTTTGCAAAGGCACCTTTTATGTATTGGGCACATGGGCAAATCTGTGCATTTATAGAACTGGAATAAGCCCCTTCCTTGCTTGCTACAACTGGACTAGAATATTTTGTTTGTGCTAATGTCCTTTCTTCATAACCTCAAAACATTTGCCTGTTCATCCAGAACATTAAAATGAATGTTTAAGATTGTAAGAGGGGCAGCTGTGTAAATTGATCTAATTAATAAATAATACAGACAGCAGAATTATGTAATCTCAGGCACTGATATGAGTTTAGAAAAACCATGAACGAAACCAAGAAAAGATGGAAAAGGCCATATGGGCTACTCCATATAGCTTCTTGCATCCTGCTTTCTACAGAATAGTCAGAAAATATATAGTGTTAAAGAATGAACATTCATTTATTGATGTGATGTTTGGGTAGAAATGAAAGTATGCATCTTGTCTAAAGATCTTCCAAAAGATATTTTTGTAGGTATCAATAATTTCACGTTTGTTTTACTTATTTAATATGGAATTGACTATGAATGAGCTTAGGAGTGTGTAAGGGACTTTGTGCAGGGCAATGCCATGAGCGATGCAAACTCTGAATCTCTTCTTTGAGGAACTGAAGCTGTCCCTTCTTCAAATAATGCACACTTCAACCCCTTCAAGGGGCTTCATAGATATACCCCTACCCTCCATTCACACACGCACACTTATATACAAAAGACACTTTGGCTAGGCAAGGTAATTAGGCAAAGCTGCTCCAATTGTTGGCAGACTCTATTCTCTAGGTATAACTAACTACAATTTAGAAATAAAAATGTGTTTAGAACCCATGTATGTATTTATTTATTTTGTGCTACAGGTGAAAGCGGTATACTGCAAAATTGGCGATACTGTTGGGGAAGGAGATGAACTTGTGGAATTGGAATAAATCATTTCTTTCTAAAATTACCAGTCGGAATAGCCTATTTTATGGTCAACCAGAAATTAAAATGAACGTTTATCAAAGCAAAGGAGTTATGTAAACTCAACTATTGCTTTACTTTTTTTTTTTAACAAAAAAACAAAAATAAAAATGCAGTGGGTTGATTTAGGTCATCTTTCACAATTTAAATTAACATTTCACTACACTACATTATAAATATTTGTATATATGAAATTTGTAATTCTTTTCATTAGATCTATTTACATGAAGAAAATTAATAAAATCAACATTTTGGTGTATAAACTATGTGTGATGTTTAAAGTTTTTAAGATAAACTATTTTAAGATGTTTAAACTTTTTAAGTGTATAGATGTATGTGCATATATATGAGACTGAAAATATTTTCTGACAATTCATCAGTCTGTAAAATTGACGGACAAGTTTGTCAGTAAAAGTATGTTAAAAATATTTAAGGTTTTCGTACACAATCTGAACTTTTATGTAATGTGCTTGACTATAACAACAGTTGTTGGCGTTACGAGACTAGCTGACAAGCCTTCTCTTCTATCCAACAAAGGACAACATTGAGCTATTTTGATGCCTTTCAGATGTTACCAGATTTATACACTCAGGTGAAGGATGCAGCTGTAATTTTTGATGGAATAGCTTATCAGAGCAATTAAGGTAGCAGATGTATGGCGCAAAGAATCAAATTGCAGTTAATCAGATTTATTGCTAATGCATATACACAGGAATCTAGTCAATTAACAATCAGCAGTAAATTGGCTGTAGATAAGAATTATGGAAGTTCAAGAGAGGCTGAACTTGCTGCTGATGAGTATGTAGATTCCAGGCTAATTCCTCTCTTGACTCTGCTCCCAGGCTCTGCCTCTCCTTCCTTTACAGCAGATGAAGAAGCAATGTACGATCGTCCTCCATTCTCATTATATACTGCCAAATAGATTTATTTCAAATGGAAGAGATTACATATTTCAGGTCCTATAACTCTAGAATAGTGTGATTTTTTAAAAAATACCAAAATCCATGATTTCTGAACTTTTGAACAAGTTATCTTAGTTGAAACCAGTAGCAATATAAGAATTTTGTCAAATTTTAACTCATCATTATTATACAATTTACAGTTTTAAGAAGATTCATATTAAGAAAAGCAGTATGATATATTAAAATTATATACAGTATTGCAAGAAGTCAATGGCAAAAAAGAAATAGATACATCACTGATATAAAAAGATGATAAAAATACAAGAATGCTGATGGTTCAGAACTTTCAACCAAAAATATGCAATGCAGTTTTAAATAGCTGAAGAAGACATTAGGAGGCAATTTATATGTACTAAAATCAATAGCTGGGTAGAAATATTCATTAATCAGAAATGGGCCGTAAGGAATGAAAAAATAAGGCATATTAGTATCACTTTTGCCTCCTCTTCCATTCATGTCCTTCCCCCCATTCATTCATTCATTCCCACATTTTGAGAAGTGATAGGTCTACCTGAATATTGGTAATATTCTAACATAATTGAAATATATAAATTACCCTGTTTAACTTTGGCAAGACAAATGCTTCATCTCATGAGTGCTGGCGTTCGGATTGTTCTTTCATTATCTTGTTCACTTGGACATTCACTTAATAACATAAGTTAATTCAATTATATTCTGAAGAGGTAAACTAGGACTGCATTTCAACATAAAATAGTAAAGATGTTCTTCAGCGCCTGGGTAAGTGTTCATAGCTAAAAGTATTGTTTGATTTTTCACTTTTATTCTCTGCTTTCTCGCAAGACGTACAGAAGATTATGCTTCCCAAAAGAATCATAATTATCGTAGTAAGGGAGATGGATCCATTCTGGCTGATAAGTAGTAGTGCTATACACATAACATTCCAGGATGTTTTTATTTGCTGATGTTCCTTCAGACGTGCTATTTTTATTTTCCCACTCTAGTACCTCAATTCTCAGTGGAGTACGCTGATACATGTTTGGGCATCCTTCAAATTCATCAAGGAACTGCAACATCTGATCATCAACAAAATATATTTCTCCAATAACACGGTGCCCCTTTCCTGGATTATTCAGCAAATAAGGGATATTATATTTGCCTGCAATCACTAGTGGGTATTTCTCCACTGTAAGTCCTCTGCCCTGGAATTGGGATGCCCCATGAACCCCATTTATCATGTGTGGATAGTTTGGCTGGCCTTTCTTTAGTGTCCCGTAGACGAAGACACGGACCATTCTTCCAACTGAAGGGACTGAAAGAAAGAAAGAAAGAATTAATTTTTGTATTTTGCATTAGCAGGCTTTTTACATCTCTGTCAGCAATAAATACACTTGTTTTTAAAACAAAACAACAGTATAAACTGCTCCTTCTCACATTTGTATTAAAATTTGCAAAAACATCACTATAATGAATGTAACGTGTAGTTGATTATCGTTATGCATATTAGACAACTTCCTAGTTAGTTTCTTTATAAAGTTCTGTTGGGTCTCACAACTGCATTAAAAAGTCCTATGATTTGGGTGAAGCAGCCATACACATGATTCCAGTGCTTTCTGTACCTACAATCTGAGCTAATAAAGATCACTTCTCTCTCCATCCAGTCAAGCAACTATGCCCAGTTGAGAATGGTTTAGCACATTCCTCCAAAGAAGCCACTTATTACAAACTATTATTAAAGATCTTTACATTTCTAATCTCTACAAATGTTCAGTAAAAGAATATTGACAACTCAGCAAAGATCAAGACAGTTTCAAGAACCTAAGTCCGTGATGGCGAACCTATGGCACGCATGCCACAGGTGGCACGCAGAGCCATTTGTGCGGGCACAAGAGCCCCAGCCAAACGTACCTCACTGCACACGTGTGCACCTCCCAGTTGATTTTTGGCCCATTTGAGGCCTTTTTTGGCCTCCCAGAGTCTCGAGGGAAGCCTCTGCAGCCTCTGGAGGCAGAAAAACACGCCTGTTTCGTCACTTCCTGTATTTCCAGAAATACTGGAAGTGACAAAATGGGCCCATTTTTGGCCTCCAAACGGCTGCAGAGGCTTCCCTTGAACCTCTGGGAGGCCAAAAAAGGCCTCAAATGGGCCGGAAATGAACTGGGAGGTGCACACATGCCCTGTGCAGGTAAGGGGGCAGCGGTGGGGGGATCGCCTGCACGTGCGCAAGGGGGCCACGTGCATTGCCTTCTGGGTGCTGGTATGCGAGCGCGAGCACAATTTTCGGCACAGGAGCCCAAAAAGGTTAGCCACCACTAACCTAGGTCTTCAGAATCATAACTTTTCTTTTAAATAATTAAACAGAACAAAGGAAACAAACAGAACAAGAAATTAAAAGGAAAAAAAGCAAAATAACCAAAAAAAATCAGATATAAGGACTTTTCATACTTCTTTAAAAAAGTAAAATTCTACTTAACAGTTATAATAAAGAATGAGTCAGTTTGGTCTAATAGGCACCAGGCCAGAAAACAGGAAACACTGAGTTCAATTCCTACCTCAAGCATGAAAGCCAATTAGGTGACTTTGGGTCAGTGAGTCTCTCTCATCCCAATTCACATTAACTCCGAATAACAGAATTGGAAAGGACCTCAGAGGTCTTCTAGTCCAACCCCTGGTCAGGCAGAAGACCATTTCAGACAAATGATTGCCCAATCTCTTCACTGGCCTGAAGCTAAGTAAAGCATCTATAATCTTATTACTAGTCAAGTAACTTCACAAAAAGCACATGAACAGGAGGGTCCACTAAGCAGTGAATTAAAAAAAACAGAATTTACAAGCTTCCCAGTTGGCTTCTAACAACCAAAACAATAAAAGTTTACAGGGAATTACAGGGAATGTGTATTTCTTGTGGGGAAAATAGGCGGAGGAAGGAATAGTATGCATGTTTTCCATCTTATTTATAAAAATAATAAAGATAGGATTTTTTTTAAAGTAAATTATCTGATTGTAATCCTCCAGACATAATTTATGTCTGTGAACAGTTTGCTCAGAAGTTGAAAGTCATATCAGATCTTCAGCCCACTGACCTTTAGGGCCATTTCTCTTTTCAGTATTGAAGGATGAAGGGGAAGATAGACACATGGTTAGCTGTCTTTCTCTACACCTGAAAATACATGGAATAACAGGGCTCCATATACTTTTCTCACACATAAGGCTAAGGGATGTAACATCTGGTGGCCTCTTGAGGTGCATTTTCATCCTTAAGTGAAACAAGTTCTCATACTTCTAGTACTTCTAAGCAGGGGAGGGATTCTACCAGTTTGCACCTATTCGCTAGAACCGGTTAACATTCCAAGCAGTTCAGAGAACCGGTTGTTAGAAGAAATTACTGGCCTAATCCTGTAAGGAAGGCAGGAAGGAAACATTCTGGTGTTGCTTACAGAAACTGCCTCTCCGTTAACCCTTATTACATTCTTGGCAGGACTAGACTTCCTGTCTCAGGAACTTCTCTGGAGTTTTTTTTCCTCCTTTGCTGGTACTTTGCTTGTGTGGAGTGACCATTTAAAGTTACAATGGCACTGAAAAAAGTGACTTATGACCATTTTTCACACTTACGGCTGTTGCAGCATCCCCACAGTCATGAGGCCAGGCGAGGAGATGTGTGCCTCGATGTGAGTGATATTGAGTTGGCCATGCCCAGCCAATAACATGACCACCAAGCCACGTCCACCCAGTCACATGAGCAACAAGCCACGCCCACCACCTAAGCCACATCCACAGAACCGGTTGTTAAAAAATTTGAATCCCACCCCTGCTTCTAAGCATGGAGAGCACTATCAAGTCAGTGGTGGAATTCAAATTTTTTTTACTACCGGTTCTGTGGGTGTGGCTTGTGGTCATGTGACTGGGTGGGTGTGGCTTACTGGGCATGTGACTGGGTGGGCATGGCTTGGTGGGCATGTGACTGGGTGGGCGTGGCCAACTCAATGTCACTCACATCAAGGGATGCCTTACCTGGCCCCTCCCCTCCCAGCCATTCCTTGTCACCCAGCCTCAACTTATCTATAGTTCTGTAAAAATGTTGTTCATCTTTTTTGACTTTATTATCTGCATACTATAGATGTACCTTCATGGACCACTGAAAGGAGGAAATGGCTCACA